TTTAATTTTTGGTTGCTATGATTTCACCTCCCAGTCAAATCTTATGATAAAATTTCACTTCAGGTAAAGAAGAATTGTATGAAAATTTATTAAAACTTAATTTTTTGTATTGCTTAATGAATGAACATGTTGGCAATCAGAAGTTGCAAAAAACATGAAATAAATTAGAAAATAATGGGAAATCTTTGCATTTCTCTTCTGTGTTTTCTTCCACGGAGTACATCAACTATTTTTGATAAATCAGGTTTTTTATCTTCTTTTCATTGAAGTAACACTGCTTTATAACATAATGTGTCAGATGTTCATTGTTGAGAATCAGCATGTGTATATACTACATTAAGTTCACCACTAAATGTCCAAATCTAACCATCTTATTAATGTCCGCCTTTTCCCATTTTCTCTTCTTTTTTATCTTGATGAGAGGAATTAGAAAATGTTGAGATTGATTGAGCTATCTTGAGACTATATCACATTCAGTTGGAAAAGAGACATTTTTATTGACTGGTAAAATGTTGTTTAGATAAGAAATGGGGTACAAAATAAAGTGAGTTAAGTGGTGCCGTCAGCAGTGTTGGGAAAATGAACCTATGAAAGTCTGAGACTGGAACCAGTTTCCTGATGCAGTAATGATGACAGTAATGACTGTAGTGCTGATGACACTGATGATGACATTGAAAAAATGGTAATAATGATAGCTACCGTGTCTTCATGTGCTGGTCATTGTCCTGATTTTTTACATGTTTTAATATTTTAAATCTTTACAACAACCTTACTATTAGGCTCTTTTTACAGGTGAAACTGAGGGATAGAGAAATTAAGTAATTTGTCAATGACTTTACAGATAGTAAGGTTCTTCCTTTCCAAGATAAAGTTCTGAAATGGAACTTTCTATAATAGTTTAACTTGCTAGGAACAATTTTGGTTTTCTGCAGTATTGCTGTTAAGATAATGACCATTTTTATGACTCTTTGGTCCTTTTAAATCTCGTCTTAAAATAGCCTTGGTACTGTATTCTTCTGCCTTTATGAATCCAACAACCCTTTTGCTATAGTTATTTGTAGTGTTATCTCAGATGACTATTTTATCTACTGTATGTCTATATGGAATACAGGAGAGGAAACCAAAATGACTGGGACAAGTGTAGGGACTTAATGGCATTCTGAAAAAAAGATTCAGAACTACTGATAACAGAATTTACCTCTTAGAGAGGATGATAACTGGCAGGAATTTTGTGGGGAGTCTAGATTAGAGCAAAATTCAGAACACATTTCCTTTTTATATTTCTAATGAAAATTTTGGGTACAGGTAGGGTATACTAGTTCTAGATCTATTTATACATTTTTATCTAGCATTATTTTGGCATTGGAAAATGGTCGTATTACAAAACAGTTCTTAGTACTGTGCTCTTATGAGTAACATCCCACTTAGTTTCCAATTAAAAATTGCATTTTTTGGTCAGTGTCTCTTAATACATATTCATGAATATCAGTATTATAGCTTGAATTAAACTGGCTCTTCTTTACTTGTAAATTGTATCCTCTCAGGACCATGCATAGTGTCCTGCAATACCCATAGGCCTCTGGTTCCTCACTGGAAGTCGAAATAGTGTCTTATTATTCTCTAGATTTTGTGCTGGCTACTTTAGAGTCATCACATTTGATCTTTATTTAATTTATTTTACTTTAATTTCAGCTTTACAGATGGATTGAGACTCCTGGAGATTACATTTTTGACCCAAGGTCATACACTCTGAAATCAGCCTACTTGTGATCAAATGTTGCCTCTGTTACTTGTTAGCTATGTTACTTTCAGCCAATTCCTTGACCTCTGTGGGCCTTGTTGTCCTCTTCTTATTTGTTAAATGAGCATTATAATGGTATTTACTCTATGAGATTGTTATGAGGATAAATGAGCTAATATAATGAGTTAGTACACTTATAATCAGTTAATCATACACTTAGAATAACACCTGGGGTATGTTGTCATATGTTTGATTTTTTTATTAAATAAAGAAATACTTGGTATTTTGTAAAAGGTGAAAGATTTATACAATATGAAGAGAAAACAGAGTATTAATATAACTGGTATTTTGAAGCGAAGTCATTCTGGTTATAAAACCTGTGCTCTTCTAATTATCCCAGTCTACTGCCTCAAAAATTATTCCAGGAATAGTGCATTTCATTGAAAGATACTTTCTTACATTTCTCTGTCCAACTGTGGCTATTATTAGTTCTGCTTAAAGAAATCTTGTCTAGAAAGAGTCCCATCCTTCCTTTCACACACTTCAGAAAACATAAGTTCTCTATTTCACCATAAGTTTAATAGTGGCAGGTCATTTAGGTTTGTGATGGACTGAATATTTATTTGTAAAATATTTCCATTTTAATTTATAATCATCACTTATTTTGGTAAGAGTATTTAACATGAGTGCTACTCTCAACAAATCTTTTTTTTTAAATCTTATTTATTTATTTTTAAAGATTTATTTTTATTTATAAAAGAACCTGGGTACAGGCCAGATGCGTGGGAAGGTGAGAGGATTCACCAGGGAACAGAACAGGCAGACTGAAATACACTGCTGAGGGGAGCAGCGGGCGAGACAGGAGAGGTCTGCTCACCATGTGGATCAAACCATCACTGCAGAGGCTGCGGACAGCTTCACAGCGCGGCACTCAACCGCCTGCGCCACCAGGGAGGCCCTCTCAACAAATTTTTAAGTGTATGATAAAGTACTATTAACTGTAGGCATAATATTATATAACAGACCTCTAGAATTTATTCATCTTGCATAATAGAAACTTTATAATTGGTGAATAACAATTCATTTTCCCCTACCTTCAACCTTTGGCAATGATGACTACTCTGCTTCTGTGAGTTTAATTATTTTAAATACCTTGTATAAATGGAATCATGCATTATTTGTCCTTTTGTGACTGGCTTATTTCATTTAGCATAATGTCCTCAAGGTTTATCTATGTTGTTATATATGGTTAGATCTCCTTATTTTGTAAGACTGAGTATATATCACATTTCCAAGTTATTTCCACATTTTTGCCATTGTGAATAATGCTGCAATGAACAGAAGAATGTTAATATCTCTTGAGATACTAATTTCAGTTTTCTGGGTAAATACCTACAAGTAGGGATTGGTGCATCTTACGCTGTTTCTATTGTTAATTTTTTGAAGAATCTCCATACTATTTTCTGTAGAGGCTGCACTGTTAAACATTTCTACTGAGAGTGTACAACGGTTCCAATTTCTCCATGTCCTTCCTAACCCTTCTGTATTTTATAATAGCCATCTTTTTATTTTTTATAAAAGATTTATTTATTTATGCATACAAGCTGGGGTACAGGTCAGAGGTATGTTGGGGGGGGGTGGTGAGAGGATTCACCAGAGACAGAGTGAGGAACACAACAGGCAGACTGACTGAAGTACACTGCTGAGGGGAGCAGTGGGTTAGACAGGAGCGGTCTGCTTTGCCTTGTGGGTTGTTCTCTGGCTGGCCAGGCATTGAACTCGTGGCCAGGCATCGAACTCATGCTGCAGAGGCTGTGGATTGCTCCATCATGTGGTGCTTAACCCCTTGCGCCACCAGGGAGGCACCAATAATAGCGATCTTAACAGATGTTGGTGCTTTCTTCTGTGGTTTTGATTTGGGTTACCCTCATTATTAGTGATGTTAAGCATTTTTTTCATATATCTGTTTACCATTTGTATGTCTTCATTAGAGACATCATTTGCCCCTTTTTAATTGAATGATTTTTCTGCTTTTTGGTTCCTTTTGCTGTTGAGTTGTAGGAGTTCCTTACATATTTTAAATAACAAGCCTTTATCAGACATGTGGTTTGTAAGTATTTTCACCCATTTGGTAGGTTGCCTTTTCACTCTGTTAATTGTTTTCTTTATTGTGCAGAAGCTTTTTAGTTTGATGTAGTCCCTCATGTCTATTTTTGTTCTTGATATCTCTACTTTGGTGTCATAGCCAAGAAATCATTGCCAAAATCTGTCATAAAGCTTTTCCCTTATGCTTTCTCCTAGGAGTTTTTACAGTTTTGGGTCTTATGTTTAAGTCTTTTAAACATTTTGAGTTGATTTTTGATTTTTTTGTCTGGTTTAAGATAAGTAACCAGTTTTATTCTTTTGCATGTGGATAACTAGTTTTCTCAGCAAAATTTCTCCATGTATATTTTTTGCAACCTTTTTGAAGATCAGTTGACTCTATATGCAGCAGTTTATTTCTGGGATCCATACTCTGTTCCATTGGTATACATGTGGGTTTTTATGTCAGTATCAACCTGTTTTAATCATTGTAGTATTGTGATACATTTTGAAATCAGGAACTTTGATAATGTTCATCTTTTTTTTTTTTTTTTTCTCTTTCAAGATTGTGTTGGCTATTTGGGGTCCTTTGTGGTTTCATATGAATTTTAGAATTATTATTTTTATTTTAGTATAACATGCCAATGGGAATGTATTGAAGCTCTGGATTCTTTATGTCTTGTGGTTTTTTAATGATACAAATTTTCCAGTCCATGATTATGGATGTCTTTTGATTTATTTCTGTTTCCTTTAATTTCTTTGATCAGTAGTTATAGTGTACAGGTTTTTTACCTTCTTAGTTTAGTTTAATTATTTTATTCTTTTTGATGCACTCCTTTATGCTTATTTGAAGTTTCCTAATTATTCTAGTGGTATAGGTTAAGACTGAAATTTCTTTAGTGTTATTTAACAACAGGTTACATTTAAAAACGTATTTTTATGAAATTAAAATTTTAATTTCTGTGAAATAATTTTTGCCTTAATATATGTTATTAATACCTGTCATAATGAAATAGTGGGATTCGCATGAGTGTTGTGTAAGGGAGGGTAGGAGGGAAAGTCTGTGTTTTCTTTTTGGATTCTTCAATACTATATTATTATTATTTTTTTCCTTTCAGTAAATTATTGTGCATCTTCTACTTGTATTAAAATGACAGAAAATATTTTTTGGTTTTAGGCTTGTGTGGATGTCAGAGCCAGTTCAGTGTTTTGGCAGCAGATGGAATTTGCAGAAAACCACAGTGGTCATCCCAAGTTGCCAGAATGGTTATCCACACACCCTTCTCATGGAAACCGAGCTGAGCACTTAGATAAACTCATACCTCAGGTGAGCTAAACCCATATAATGCAAAGAATAATTTTACCATTTTAAAGTTTATTTATTATAAATTTATTTTTCACTGTTATTTATTTTTAATGCTATTACTTTTTGTGCTTAATAAAAGAGAGTTCTAGCCTTTCAACTATTTTGATTACTGTAATTATGGATTATCACTTTTCAAAGGATTGGAAAGTAAAATCCTGCTTGTCTACAAGTCCTTGGGAATAGATTGCTGTGTATTAGTTGGATTTTCTATACAACATGGTAAAGGTTTAACCTTTTTTGTATCAGACATTTTAATTTTAACTGATTTGTTGAAAGTCTCAAACTCAAGGTGTACTTTTTCAACATATTGATTGCAATTTAATCTTTTCTTCTTGATTTAAGCATATTGTTAAAATCCCGGTTAATGAGTTGTATAAAAGTTTTGAGTCAACTTAGTATTCTTTATAAAGATAGTCAAGTATGTACTGTGGATCTTTCTGACTTTTTTTTAAAGAATTCATTAAATATCAAGCTGAAACAGTTTTCTCCAAGTTGTTTTCATTATCTTTTGAAAATCTTTTGCTTTTTACCCCTTTTTATTGAGGTAACATTAGTTTACAACACTATAATACTTTCAGATGTACAGTTTCTCACCTCAGCTAATTTGTTAACATCAAATGTTAACATTTGAAAAATTCTAAATGCTTTCTCTGGTTTTCATATCAGTTTAAAATGGATGTCAGACTTCTCCCAGCTAGGTTACATGTTTTCTTCTGTCTCACCTACATTAAATTTTCTAGTTGGTTATGAAGGAAGAATGTTTTTTAGCCATTTAAAAATTGATATTGGCCTATTAACTAAAGGATAATACAGCAGATGCAATTATATTATGGAAGTATTTTTCAGTGTGACTTGAAATTCAGCTTAACAAGTTTGAGTATCTGTTGTAAGAAAGAAATGCCAAATACCAGGAATACAATGAGAAATAAGACATGATTCTTGAAATTTTAAGGATGCTAAGATAAGTACAAAATAGCTTTTGTTATAATTTATCTTAAGAACAGTAGCAATATTGTGGTATGCAGTTTGAAAGAATTACCTGCACCCAGTTTGGGATAAGAATTACTGAAAGATTCTTTTCATCCATTCATGTGATCAATAGTTACTAGTATTCATTGGTAATATACCATTCTATTGGTAGGGATTCAGCATGGGACAAAATAGTCTTGGCTTTCTCAGAACTAACATTCTTAGTTAGTTAATGTAAATAACAAACAAATATATGTATCAATCAGCGATAAGCTTATTGGGGAAAATTAAAGCAGGTTAAATAAAGGTAGTGAAGAGGGCATACTATTTATATTCATTCAGTTGTCAAGGAAGGCCTTGCTGAACAGAATCTGGGAAGATTCAGGGGAACAAGTCCTATGGATATCTAGAGGGAGATTCTCTCAGGGGCAGGCAGTAAGGGCAGAGGACCTGAAGTAAAAGTATGTTTGTTGTCTTCAAGGAATAATAAATAAGACAATGGAGCTGCATAGAATAAAAAAGGGTGAAAATGGCTGAGGTACAGAGGAAGTGGACCATGAAGAGTGTTCTAAACCATTATAAAGTTTTATTTCAAATGATATGGGAAATTAGTGGAGGGTTTTGAGTAGTGGAAAAGCTTGATCTGACTTATGTTTTATAGGGATCATGGAGGATCCTATGTGGAGAGTAAGCTATAGTGGGGCAAGTGTAGAATCAGGGAGACTCTTTGAGGACTCTTGTAATAATCCTTAGAAGAGATTATGGAGGCAGAAGACAAGGAGAGGAATGGCCAGATTTTGGATATATTTTGAAAGGAATGATGACAGGATTTGTTGAGAATTTGGGCATACTTTGCCTTTCATGAGCTTTGCGGACATGGAACTGGCTGTCTAAATTTGAGGAAAAAAATTCTTGAGAAAGAAACAGCAGGGAAATATACTCAGTATAACATATAGTAATCACTCATCTTTAAAGGGCAACAGAGGACTGGGACAATGTGTATTTTATCAGTAGCTGATTTGTGCTGGATTTGCTGAAGATTACTGATTTCAAGAGTCTTGTTAGTACTACCTAAGATCCAAGGACCTTATCCCACACTGGGAGGTTTGACTTATCTTTAAAATCTTAATAACCATAGGGTTTACTCATGGAATTCCTTATCTTTTTACTTTTTGCTCAGTTAAATTCTAAAAATACATAGTTTGCATTAAATGGGTGAATGAATTTTAGCCAATTTTCATCTGAAGCCTTTCCTAAAATCTAAGCTATCTTTAGAGAAGTTAAAAAAAGTGCCTTAGATAAATCTTTAAAAAAATAATGTATTTATTAGTAATTATGAAGAAAAATGATTAGAAAAATAAATATGTTAGTTGGGAGCCAATGATGAAGAAAAAATTTTGAGAGGTATTTTTTTTTCTCTAAAAAGAAACAAACAAATACAAACTATACTAGTTTAGAAACTTAATTTGAAAACCTGTTATAATTTCTTATATCCCCTGCCCCCAGAAGTGAGTCGATTTAGTTTCAAAGTAATAAAACTCTACTACAATATTGGGAATAATTCAGTGGTTGAAATACAACTGATATAGCAAGTGTATATTGTTAATTAGAATACATAGTCATAACTCAGAGTTTGGAATTCCTTACTATCATAGGTCTAATTTTTATAATGAAAGTGATTCCTCAGGCAGTGTATAGAATTGTGTGAGTTTTTATAATACTAACTACCTTCTTGTTAGATTTTATTTAAGATTTTTTTTCTACTTAAGTCAATACAATCAATGTTACTTTCTCACTAAGGCTCCTTTTCTTTAACATTCACCAGAGTAGGCCTGCAGTGAGGGAGATCTCAGAGGTAGTTGGAAATACAACGCCAGAGCACAGAGATGAAGATAACAAACTCTTAAAAAGAAGTGATAGTTGAAAGAATGAGAGTGGATGAGTTTACTTGGCAAGTGAGCAGAGAAGATCCCAGAGTTAACAGTATTATGTCGTTTCCACATTTTAATTGGTAGGAAAACACAGTTATAGTAGATCAGATTCATTAAAAGGAGAAAAGAGCACGAAAATCAGGAAGGATTTTTATGGTTTTATAAGAACACAAATCTTGGTAACTTTGACTTCTTAAAGTTTGACTTATTGAAGATTGTGTATTTTTCTTATCAGATTCCTTGGATATCATTATATGAATGTGTTAATTGTTTACCATAGCATATGATAAACATTTAAGATGCATTAAATGTATACATTCAACAAAAACCTCTACCCTCATGAAACTTATTCTGCAGTAGAGACAGAATAATAATAATAATAACAAATTAGTTATAGAGGTTTCTCTTTCTGGCTTGCAGCCTTCTCTTTGTGTCCTCACCTGGTAGCAAGAAGAAGCCTGGTGTCTAGTGCTCTTCTTAATAAGGGCACAACCCCATCCCTGTCCCCTCATCTAACCCGAACTTCCTCCCAAAGCTGCCATATCCAAGTGCCGTCATAGTGGAGATTAGGGCTGCAACATAGGAATTTAGGGGAGTATTGACACAGTTCAGTCCAAAGCAGATAGGTAATGTGCGAGCAGAGAGGACTGGGGTGCTGGAATAGCTATTTGTAAATGGTAAGAAAACATTTCACTGAGAAGGTGGTACTCAAATAGTTAACTAAGTGAAGAGTGAGCTATGTGACTATCTGAGTGGGATAAGCCTTTGGGGAATAGGAAATACAAATGCTGGAGTGAGCTTGCTCTATTTGGGGAACAGCAAAGAAATCTGTTACTGGGAAGTGAGGGTGCATGGGCTTTGAAGCCCATGTAAAGACTTTGGTTTTGCTTGGAGATGGGAGACTAGTGGAAGGTTTTGAGCAGAGTACTGAAGGATTACCAAGTTCTAATTTGCTTTTTGAAAGGGATGTGATCTACAGTTCTCTACAAAGCAGTAGTGCAGTCATAGAATTTTGCAGTATTTTAGTATGGCGTGTTGTTCAGAAAATAGACTAACTTGTTTTTTGTTTTCAAATTAGATTTGATTTAAGAATCCTCAAATTAGAAAAAAAAATACCCTTTTAATTTTTTTATGTGAATTCTGAGATAAATCATGTGTAATGCCTAGTTAAATATAATCCTGTGATCCATGAGTATTTAAAAAAGATAAATACAGGGTTACAGTAATAATATTATTTGTAGTTAATAAGATGATATAATTTTATTTACTTGAAATAATCAGTTAAATTTAGAAAACACATCCCACATATTTGGTTACCATAACAACTTGGGTGAAAAATTGAAGAACAGATGTTATATCAACCTGTTGACGTCTAATAGTATGACAGTTTTAAGATGATAGTTACACTGTTACACTGTTTAGATTTTAAATTTATATATACCATAATATCTCCTTGAAGAGATACTTTTTAAACTTTCTGTAATGATTGTTATCAAGTATTAAGAAATTTTACTTCAAGGATTTATTTTAAGACTATACGTATTTAGGGCTTCCCCTGGTGGCACAAGTGGTTGAGCTCTGGGCAGCCTCTGCAGCGCTGGTTAGATCCTGACTGGCCGGAGATGGTCCCACATGGCGCGCAGACCTCTCCTGACTCACCCGCTGCTCCCCTCAGCAGTGTAGTTCAATCTGCCTGTTCTGTTCCCTGCTCTGTCTCTAGTGAATCCTCTCACCCTCCCGCGCATCTGTTCTGTACCCCGGTTCTTGTATGAATAAATAAATCTTAAAAAAAAAAGATTGTAAGTACTTAGACTGAATTTTTATTGATTTCTTCTTTAACCAACTTTCTCTTCTGTCCTCTCCCTTGGGAGTAGAAGAGTTGAAAGGATTGGAGAATTATAAGATGTATAGGAAAAGCATTTAAAAACATTTCATTTAAACTTGCTGTTTGTTGTCTTTTGAATAGGATTTATTTTTTTAATATTTTCAGTCAGCTTTATTTGTAAACTATTTTTAGAATCTTGATATTCAAATTTATTACATTCAATTTTTAGATATCAT